CTAGAGACTATAACCAACCCCAACCTCCCTCCTTCCCACCATCCCTGATCCCAAATCTGTCATGTACAGCATCACACAGGTAAACATTCCTTTGAGCACACCTGTGCATGTAAAAACTGCTCATGCAAAACTAAAGAATCATTTTACAAGAATTCACCAGCACGGAGACTAAATCGGAGTAAGATTGTCTGAACCATCTGCTAGTAAAACCGGCACATCTGTTACGCGGAGTTGGTGTATCATAGCAATCATGATGCAGATGCAGCTGACATCCATTTACAAGCACAACAACGTGTGTATCAGTAGCCTGAAGGGTGATAAACTCACCAGAGAAGTTTTAAAGTTAACATGAAATTATGTTTGTGTTATCAGGATATTCGACAAGAAAAACGCTTGACGAGACTTGATTTTATCCATTGGGAATTGATTGCACTGGTAAATATGACCAGAATGATGGATATGTTCAAATAAGTGTTCTTGATCCAAAAGTGAAGGTCGTTTCAGAGGTGGAGCAAGTTACGGTAATTATGCATATTAAGACCGGGAATGTGTGATTTCATGTTGACTTTAATAGCACACTTTGGGTTGTTCTCAGGTGCTACATACATGTAGGTCGTTAAAAAATACCATGATATGGTCCGCATCACAACGACTTAATCGCAGGTAAGTTCAAGTAAAATCTCACGAGAGTCCTTTGAACGAGCTTTTCAACAGTCAACGCCTTCACCCAATCACAATTTTTTGTATTACTCTACCTTAAGAAATGAGCTTTGCAAAGCACACAAATTGGAATTAGGATATTGCACAGACTGGTAAGCCGTCCATGTTAGTTTGCCAAGTGAAGCACCATCGGTTTTCCTGCACACGCTCAGTTTATTAGGTTGAGTGTGGGCTACTAGTCCGTAACTAATCCCAACGTTCCCTACATTTCAGTGCGCAGAAAAGCATGGAGAAATTTAGTGTATTTGGGATGGGATAGCAGTTTTGTTTTCGATAAAAGTTTAATCAATATTAATTTAGTCTCTTCTAAAATCATTGCTGTTTCTTTAGTGTTAGTATCTGCTCCTTCCATTCCACTCCACAAAACATCAATAAAATGTAACTTAAAAATACAGTAAAAAAGTCAAAATGATGTCCACTCCTGCCTTTTTACCCTTATAAAACTAGCTTAGCAAGTTTAGCATTGTGTAATTCTTAGCCCCCTGTCCAAGTAGATGGCAGTGAAGTGATTTGTGTATACTACCACTACATTTGGGTAAGAAAGTGTCTGCAAAGTATATAATTTTGATATAATTGGAGCCCTCAACAGGCAGGACAAAAACTAGCAATGCTCAGCAGTGTTTTAGTTGAGCTAGCCATTGCCCATGTGGTCTCGTAAGTGCAGTATGTTGTAAAAACTTGGTTGTTGTTGTAATGTTTTATTATCAGCACACGTTTTAAAATTGCAACCAAACTGCAACATTAAAACGTTTTGTGCATGCTGTGCTTTGACTGTGGTTTGTACTGTATGATAACAGCGATAATGATTACAATATTTGTCAGACGTGCTTTAAAATAGGAAATAGAAAGCTATAATTAACCTTTGATTAGTCATGTTATATAATTAGAGGATGCTACGACAGTTTTATACTTTTATTTTATTTTTTTAATTGCAACTAAAATGCAACTTTGTAAAACTGTTTTGTGCCTGCTGGGCTTCGACTGTAGTTTGTACTGTTTAATAACCGTAATAATCATTAGAATATTTTTTAGACATGGCTTAAAAATAGGAAACAGAAAGCAATAATCTTTGATCAGTCATGTTACGTAACTGGATGCCATGATAACTTTTTAACAGTTTTATGCAGAATCTGTTCATGAGCTTTAATTCACCCTATCCTCCGCATGTATAACAGCTAATGAAGCTCATCTAACTAAAATCAATTAACATCTAGTTAATCAAGGTAGTCTTGTTGGTTAGACTATAGCAAAAACCAGCATCCCGAAGCCAGTTTTTGTGCGACTTTTTTTCAACATTTGGGATGAAACCTTGACCTCACAATGAAACACACTCAGAGATCAATACCGAATGATGACATCAGGACATAAATCCTCTTTTATTGATAAGAATCATCGTATTGCGGGTACAACACACATCCAGCTAAGCACAAAAAGAATGAAAGCTGGAATTAGCTTTAGCTAATTAGCTTCATAAGACAGTATGAGCCTTGATAAAATGAGTACATTATATATTAGACTGATCAATGATGTTATAGTTTCATATTCATATTTTAGTTGTCCTCCAAAGTGACTTAGAGACATTTTACATTCTGATATCAATCTTTTTCGTGACAGAAATGTGGCTTTCTAACGCCAACAAACTGAAACAAAGACACTGAAGCATCACCCAAGCAGACGGTACTACTGTAAATTACAAAAAACATCAAACTGTAAATCTACAAAAATCAAGAATGGGCGTTAAGAAACAAGCCACTCGAAACAAACCAGATAGAAACAAGCATCTTTTTTTAAATTCCCAGGTTTCTAGAGACTATAACCAACCCCATCCTCCCTCCCTCCCACCATCCCTGATCCCAAATCAGTCATGTACAGCGTCACACAGGTAAACATTCCTTTGAGCACACCTGTGCATGTAAAAACTGCTCATGCAAAACTAAAGAATCATTTTACAAGAATTCACCAGCACGGAGACTAAATCGGAGTAAGATTGTCTGAACCATCTGCTAGTAAAACCGGCACATCTGTTACGCGGAGTTGGTGTATCATAGCAATCATGATGCAGATGCAGCTGACATCCATTTACAAGCACAACAACGTGTGTATCAGTAGCCTGAAGGGTGATAAACTCACCAGAGAAGTTTTAAAGTTAACATGAAATTATGTTTGTGTTATCAGGATATTCGACAAGAAAAACGCTTGACGAGACTTGATTTTATCCATTGGGAATTGATTGCACTGGTAAATATGACCAGAATGATGGATATGTTCAAATAAGTGTTCTTGATCCAAAAGTGAAGGTCGTTTCAGAGGTGGAGCAAGTTACGGTAATTATGCATATTAAGACCGGGAATGTGTGATTTCATGTTGACTTTAATAGCACACTTTGGGTTGTTCTCAGGTGCTACATACATGTAGGTCGTTAAAAAATACCATGATATGGTCCGCATCACAACGACTTAATCGCAGGTAAGTTCAAGTAAAATCTCACGAGAGTCCTTTGAACGAGCTTTTCAACAGTCAACGCCTTCACCCAATCACAATTTTTTGTATTACTCTACCTTAAGAAATGAGCTTTGCAAAGCACACAAATTGGAATTAGGATATTGCACAGACTGGTAAGCCGTCCATGTTAGTTTGCCAAGTGAAGCACCATCGGTTTTCCTGCACACGCTCAGTTTATTAGGTTGAGTGTGGGCTACTAGTCCGTAACTAATCCCAACGTTCCCTACATTTCAGTGCGCAGAAAAGCATGGAGAAATTTATTTTTAGTGCTACTGGAAAACATCTGATCAGACAGTAAAGTCATTTTGTAAAAAAAGAAAGGCGTGGCTTTGTTCATTTCATTTTTTTTGGCTCAAAATGATTGGTCTGTTCATGTTTTTGTGTTCTATTTTCCATTCACATGTCTATTGTTCAGGTTTAGTTTTCATTCAGCATAGCATTTTTTGTAACGATCTGTCGAAGAACATTCCTAAAGATTGTCTTCAGATACTCCCAACCAAATCCTCCAAGGTTACAGTTGCTCCGAGCGGATGACGTGGAAAAGCGTAACGTTGTACAGGACTTGATGTCCGTTATTCCAGGCGTACAGCGCTCGATCTCGTGGGTTGTAGTCCAGCATGGAGATGTGCGAGTACTTGTTCTGCAGAACGATATCGATGTACTCGTACGTTGAGGAGTTGGTCTGGTAGGCGTAGTAGACTTTCGTCCCTCCCGAGTAGCCGTTGGTCACGTACAGCGTCCCGCAAATCATAAACGACTCCCCGGCGCTGCGTCTCGGGTGATTGGTCGTCCAGCTCTGGATTATATGCAGGGTCAGGGGGTGGAGTTTGCTGATGACTATGTTCCCCGCATTCTGATTGGTGGCGTAGATGGCCCAGAGCCCGCCCTCATCCACCATGAGGTCGATATCGGAGTGTCCGCCCCAGGCGTAGTGGTAGGTGTTACTGTAGCCCGAGTTGTCCAGACGCTGAGATTTACTTATGGTGGACGTCTTGAAGTCAAACTTGATGATCATGTTGCTCTGGAACTTGTTGAAATAGATGGAGCCGTTGTAGACCACCTGACCCGTCCCGGACCAAGGGTGCGGCAGGCGGTGAGACGTGAAGTTATCGGACGTCATGAAGTCCGCCATAGACTTATATTCCCGCACAAAACGGTTGTTATGATAGCCGTCCATGTACCACACCTGAACAGAAGTGAGAGAGTAAGTGATTAATATAAATGACTTAACAATACAAGGAATTGAGTTAATGAGACACATCCCTGTAGCACAAGTATGTTGAGCAGATGTGCATTAGTTTTCATCTGGAGGGTGTCGTTTTTAGCATTTGCTCAACTAGAGTATGTCTAGCAGGTAAACATTCCATTTCGGATTTTTGCGCAACATGCAGCAGATGTTTGTCAGAATGTATATTGAACGCAAACTTTTTCAGATGTTCATCAGGGTTGTGCACCATTTTTAAATGAGAGGTAGCAAACAGGAACTTCAATTGAAATTCAGATTTATTTTGAATCTTAAATGTTGGCTTTACAAAGTCTTATTTGAAAATTTTGTAGCTCAAAAAACCTTGAAGTGTGTAAGTGGATGGATGGACAGATTGATGGATAGATGGGCGGACGGATAGATGGACGGACGGACAGACAGGCAGATGGATGGACGGTTAGATAGATAGATAGATAGATGGACGGACGGACGGACAGGCAGATGGATGGACGGATCGATAGATAGATAGATAGATAGATAGATAGATAGATAGATAGACTGGTAAGCCGTCCATGTTAGTTTGCCAAGTGAAGCACCATCGGTTTTCCTGCACACGCTCAGTTTATTAGGTTGAGTGTGGGCTACTAGTCCGTAACTAATCCCAACGTTCCCTACATTTCAGTGCGCAGAAAAGCATGGAGAAATTTATTTTTAGTGCTACTGGAAAACATCTGATCAGACAGTAAAGTCATTTTGTAAAAAAAGAAAGGCGTGGCTTTGTTAATTTCATTTTTTTTGGCTCAAAATGATTGGTCTGTTCATGTTTTTGTGTTCTATTTTCCATTCACATGTCTATTGTTCAGGTTTAGTTTTCATTCAGCATAGCATTTTTTGTAACGATCTGTCGAAGAACATTCCTAAAGATTGTCTTCAGATACTCCCAACCAAATCCTCCAAGGTTACAGTTGCTCCGAGCGGATGACGTGGAAAAGCGTAACGTTGTACAGGACTTGATGTCCGTTATTCCAGGCGTACAGCGCTCGATCTCGTGGGTTGTAGTCCAGCATGGAGATGTGCGAGTACTTGTTCTGCAGAACGATATCGATGTACTCGTACGTTGAGGAGTTGGTCTGGTAGGCGTAGTAGACTTTCGTCCCTCCCGAGTAGCCGTTGGTCACGTACAGCGTCCCGCAAATCATAAACGACTCCCCGGCGCTGCGTCTCGGGTGATTGGTCGTCCAGCTCTGGATTATATGCAGGGTCAGGGGGTGGAGTTTGCTGATGACTATGTTCCCCGCATTCTGATTGGTGGCGTAGATGGCCCAGAGCCCGCCCTCATCCACCATGAGGTCGATATCGGAGTGTCCGCCCCAGGCGTAGTGGTAGGTGTTACTGTAGCCCGAGTTGTCCAGACGCTGAGATTTACTTATGGTGGACGTCTTGAAGTCAAACTTGATGATCATGTTGCTCTGGAACTTGTTGAAATAGATGGAGCCGTTGTAGACCACCTGACCCGTCCCGGACCAAGGGTGCGGCAGGCGGTGAGACGTGAAGTTATCGGACGTCATGAAGTCCGCCATAGACTTATATTCCCGCACAAAACGGTTGTTATGATAGCCGTCCATGTACCACACCTGAACAGAAGTGAGAGAGTAAGTGATTAATATAAATGACTTAACAATACAAGGAATTGAGTTAATGAGACACATCCCTGTAGCACAAGTATGTTGAGCAGATGTGCATTAGTTTTCATCTGGAGGGTGTCGTTTTTAGCATTTGCTCAACTAGAGTATGTCTAGCAGGTAAACATTCCATTTCGGATTTTTGCGCAACATGCAGCAGATGTTTGTCAGAATGTATATTGAACGCAAACTTTTTCAGATGTTCATCAGGGTTGTGCACCATTTTTAAATGAGAGGTAGCAAACAGGAACTTCAATTGAAATTCAGATTTATTTTGAATCTTAAATGTTGGCTTTACAAAGTCTTATTTGAAAATTTTGTAGCTCAAAAAACCTTGAAGTGTGTAAGTGGATGGATGGACAGATTGATGGATAGATGGGCGGACGGATAGATGGACGGACGGACAGACAGGCAGATGGATGGACGGTTAGATAGATAGATAGATAGATGGACGGACGGACGGACAGGCAGATGGATGGACGGATCGATAGATAGATAGATAGATAGATAGATAGATAGATAGATGGACAGGCAGACAGATGGACAGATAGATAGATAGATAGATAGATAGATAGATAGATAGATAGATAGATAGATAGACGGACAGGCAGATGGATGGACGGATAGATAGATAGATAGATGGCCGGACAGACGGACAGGCAGATGGATGGACGGTTGGATAGATAGATAGATAGATAGATAGATAGATAGACGGACAGGCAGACGGATGGACGGTTGGATAGATAGATAGATAGATAGATAGATAGATAGATAGATAGATAGATAGATAGATAGATAGATAGGCAGATGGATGGACGGACGGACGGACGGACGGACGGATCGACGGATCGATAGATAGATAG